CAAGTGTCATCCCCTGTTATGAAGAGGCTGGGCTTTCTGGCTGCCCTCGTGCAGAACAGTCCGGCCTGGCCACACCGCTGGCATCTCTGCATCTCCCAGAGTCCCCGTGTCCCCCACCCAGTGCCCTGATTTTTGAGGGATGTTTCGAGGGCCCCTCCCTTGGCTAACTGATGCTGGGGAAACCAGGGAAGCACCCGGGGGCAGGAGGCATGTGTGGGGGCAGCTGCAAGGTGCAGAGGTCTCCCAGGACGCCAGGCGATGCAGAGGGAGATGGTGGGACAGGAGCCGCCGGAACCTTCACACACCAGGTCAGGCCTCAACCGGTACGTGGTGCTGCAATTACTCATTAAGTAGAGCGTGGCTCCAGATTAGAGCTGTGATTGCCGTCCCCGACCCCTGCGTGTGCAGGCAGAGCAATGTTATCTCAGAGCAGGGCCCTGCTCCCTCCTGGGAACAGTCCTTCTGCGTCTGGGGCCTCACGGGCCCCTTGGCTTGAGTTTTCTATTTCACAACCTTAATTTTTCCCTATTTCCACAAAGGGAGGGATGGAACTTACCTGGGTGTTTGACAGCAGCCCTGTGGGACAGACAATGGGACAGGAGAGGTGGCCACCTGGGGCGGCACCTAGACCTCACGAAGGACTCCAAGTCCTTCAGAGGCTTCAAAAGGAAAAAAAAAAAAAAAAAGTTCAGGATCAAAGCCATTCGATTTGAGCGGCCTGGCCAAGCCGGGGTGATGGCATGCGCTGATTAGGACAGGCAGACGACCCTGCTGGCCCTCCGCGGGGCTGGCCCCTGCTCCGCCCTGCCGCAGGGGGCTCTCAGCACCAGGCCTCGGTGGTGCCAGGCGCGATCCCCGACGGCTGCCCGAGGGGCCCCGGCTCAGGCCCTTGCCGGTAGAACCCCGGGAAGGTCACTCTGCCCCTCTGTGCCTCTGGAAATGGAGTCCTCGGGTGTGCCTCCAGGGCTGTTCCGGAGACTGAGTGAGTTAGTGACTCGGCCACACAGAGAACTGGCCACCACCTAGGTCAAGCCTGGTCAAGCTGCTGCTGGGAATGATGGCGGGGCCTGATCCGTGGACGCAGCCGTGTTTCCAGAGTGGACAACCACTGGTCACGAAGGCGACAAGCCCCTGGGCTACACCCAGAGGCGGCAGGGGAGGCTGCCCTCCTTCCGCCTTGGGGGTGAGCCACGGATTGCGCTGATTGGCTGGTTCTGGGTCCTGGTGTGGAGTCATCCTTGCCAATCAATCTGAGTGACAGTCAGAAGGCGCGTTTCCTAGGCGGGCGCGGAAGGCAGGCGCTGGGGGCACCGAGGGAGTCAACAGGCTCTTCGTCCCATCAAGTGCCCTTGGACCCTTGGGCCCTTATCTGTCGCTGAGAAGGGGGACCCTGGCCAGATTCGAAGATCGAGTCCCCACGGTGTCAAAGGAGAATGGGCAGCGCCAGTCCCCAGACCTGGGTTTGAGATTGAGGCAGGAAGGCCCTGTCCTTAGAGAAAAAGGCCACCTTGCACAGCAGGAGCTTTGCCCGCCCTTCCCCAGGTCCCCACTCGGGTTGAGCCTGCAGGGGTGGTGGGAGGAGTTTACCACCCTTGTTTTCCAGACCTTGCTCATAACTTCGTCCTTACCCTGTGCACCTGCCGTACTTTGATTCATTGAATACTTTTTATTTGCGTCCCTGTATGTGTTTTCCTGATATCACATGTATTTAAAAGAAATATCCACTTGCCAGGGACCAGGGGAGGGGCAACGAGGAGTCCCCATGTAACGGGGCACAGTTGCAGCCTGGGAGTTAAAAACAGTGCTGGTGTGGTTGGTGGATGGTCCCCGGGCTGCCCCCAAACTCTCCACCGAAAAATGGTCACAATGGCAAATCGCACGTATAGATTTTACCACAATAAAAAAATTTCAACTCGAAAGGAAGACACACAAATGTCACCATTATAACATAGAAAAATCAGAATCATTTCTCTCAATAGATCAAAAGAGTAAAAACAAAACCAATGAAAATGAAACATAGTCAGTTGAGCCTGTCACTGTCACCCACAGGGCACGCTGAGCCTGAAGTGACCTCTTATTTTCCCAGTGAGCATTAGCAAAAACTAGGAAATTGATTAAGACAAGTTAACAGGACCCCAGGGCTTTCTCCTGGAAAACCAACCGGGGCCCAGGAGAACTGACTTGGGAGGAGCCTTCCCTGGGGGAGTGGAGGCTGTCCTACTGCAGCCTCCGCCCAGCCCCAGGTCACCGTCCAGAAGTTTTCCAATGAACTTTCCTTCAATTCCAAGGAGGAGCTGAGTGCTAGACTGGGGAGAAGCAGAGGACAGGATGCTGGCCCTTCCCCTCCTTCTTCCCTTGCTCAACCTAATGGCTGGCCCTGGCCGGTTTTCATTCGGATTTTATTTGACAAAAGAGATCTGTTGCTTTAAAATATGTTTGGAAACTGTTGCTGCAGATCCCGGAAGGAGGATGCTCCCAGCTCTAGGATTCCGGGCTCCGGGAACTGTGAGCCTGCTCAAGCCAAACACGGCCCCCTCCTTCTGTTTCTCTCTGCTGTGACTTGTTTTGCAGACCAGGTTTCCTTGCCCCAAATCCACTTGCCTTCCTTCTTGTAATGAATCCCTTTTTCCTTGGTGAGGAAAACCCTCCCCTGCTCTCTGTCCCTGCAGTTTTGCGGGTTCAGAGATGGGCATGCGGCCTGGACCTGGCCAATCAGAAGTCTGAATCCCCTAACCATAGCGATTGCCTAAAATATGGGCACCTGACCCAATTAAAGTTAGCAAAGACCACGTCTCAGCTGTCAGCTGAAGACGACTGTGGCTGAGAAGTTAGTGTTGAGTTAGAGCATCTGGTGGCCACCTTACTATAGTGAACAACATCTGCTCTACAAGGTAATGAAACCAGATGGAGGCAGAGTTGAAAGATGGACAAAGAGAACCATATGGTGTCATCCTTTTAGTTCCTGGATCCAGCCATACCTGAAGCTGAAATCCCCACCCTGCTCAGATCCTTGGTTTGCTTAATCCAACTTTACATGGGTTTCCTGTCATTTGCAAGAATCCTGATTGATACAACCTGCATAAGAACCCCTCCTTAATGTTACTATTTAACACATGATCTTTCAAACAGTAAGTAGGAAACACTGACCCTGGAAAAGACCTGATTTTCAAGTCTTTGGTGGGCAGGTATTTTTTTCTTCAGCTTCTTGGACATAGACCCGAAACCATTGGGTGTTGAGGTCCTGAGCTTGGGCACTTGCTCTTCTTTGTTGCTTTAAAGTCATCAAATGTCAAGTGTGCTCCCTAGACCTAAGAACCGTAAGCCATCAGGCCGGCCCGCGGTCTGAGGTCGGTCACCAGCCCGGTCCTGCCCTTTTCACAACACTGGCCTCTTGTCTCTGACGATGGAGTCCATGGCGCACATTCCTGACGGTTGCATCCAAAACCAATATTTTGCTCTGGGCTGGAGCGCCATCTCGACGTACACATCCGAGCTCCCGGAATGCTGCTCCCCAGCCTGACAGCTCTGGAGGTGGAGAGCTGGCCGCCCGCCAACCCAAATCTTTTTGCTTCTTTCTTTTACTATAAACGGGGCCTTTGAAGCGCTGTGGATTCATTGAATGAACAAATGAACTTGTTCACATAAAACACGCAGGAGGAAACCTCCACGGCTCCAACGTGGAATCTCAGTCTGTTTTCTGATGAGCTGTGATGGGGATCATTACCTAGACCGGGCTGCTGTCCACCCGATGGTGGCCTCGCTCTTCCCCCAGTCAGTAAATTCAAGATGGCGTGGTACGGCTCAGGGGTGCAGGGGACCTTCTGCCCTGTTGACTCCCCGGGAATGGACTTTGAGTTGGGGAGGCCCCGGCCCAGCCACAGGAAGGAAAGCGGGGGGACGGGGTGAAGCCACGGTGTCTGTGCTGCATCCAGAGGAGGCCGAGGCTAGGGACAGACCTGTCCCTCCACCCACAGGAGCAGCCCAAATCCAGTGACATACAGCGCTGTGGGAGGTAGAGCCAGGCGGTCACTCAGGACAGGGGCTGGGGTGACCGACGGCAGTTTATCCTATTGGAAGGAAGTGAGGCTGCTTTTTACGCGGCTCTTGAATGGAGCCGGTGAATCATCTCTGAGTGACCCATGAGGTCCCGCCCAGGGCCCTGCTTGCTGGTGCCAAATCAGTCTGGAGGGAGGACGGGGGCTTCAGCCAGTGGCTGGTGGGAGATGTGAACGCAGAGGCAGAACCGGGCGGGCAGGGGAGGTGCCCAGAGGGTGGCAGGCCCTGGGCAGGGCAGGGCTGGGTGGCCAGGTGTGGGAAGGAGGTGGCATGGCGTCTGTGGGGGTGAGACTCTCGGTGATTGCTGGGCCCCCTGCCGGAGCACCACTGCCCCCGCCCGACATTACGAATGGCTGCTTCTCTCCAGGGGCTGGCGGCGAGCTGGGTGGTCTGCGAGCTGGGTGGCCTCAGGACGTCAGGACACGGGGAGAGCGAGCTGCCCAGCCCCATCCAAAGCATTTGTTGGAATCAGTCATTGTGCCCTCTCTGTCAGGACCTCGGCTAGTCCTGTCCTACAGAGAGGGACCAGAGGCACGGGCAAAGGGGGAGCCCCACCCAGGCCAGGGGCTCGTCAGTGACCCAGCCAGGAGTTGAACCTGTGGACACTGAGGCCCTGGGCGAGGCTGGAGGCAAAGAGGGTGGGATGGAGGGACGGAGAGCTGAAGTCCCCACTGAAGTCCCCACTGAGTGCAGGGCAGGGGGGCCATGTGCCCAGACGGGGTGGGGGGGCAGAGGGGAGGGACAGGGCGAGAGGAAGGGCCCCGACCTTCACCCTGACCGTCTGTCCTCAGAGCCAGGTCCAGACAGGCTGCGCAAGGCCCGTTTGAAGAAAGCGAGGAGGGTCATGAGCAAACGGAGGTTCAGAGCTGCAGGAGGGTCAGGGGACAAAGCAGGCAAGAAAGAAAGACATGATAAAAATTATCACTCAGAACCGTAGCCTGAAATCGAAGAGAAGATTCACAGTGTTTATTTGAAGAACTCGATCGCGTCCTGAGAAGAGTGACCACAGGTCCAGCCCCACGTTCAAGTTCAACCACGGGACTGGCCGGACCGCTTTCCAGGTGCGCTCACATGTTCCTGTCCCGGTGGGTCGTAGCCCCCCCGAGGGGCCCAGGAACACCCGAGTGGTGGCCAGTGTTAGGGACCTGCTTCAGAAACACTCTAAGTCCAAGTTCAGATCAAAGACGCTTTGTTTCCTGGCCGGGTGCCGTCACCCACCCCAGAGACTGGAGCTCCGGGGGAGACCAGCGACTTCCTGGGCTGGGTCTTGGGAATCAAGGACGAAAATCACAGCTCGGGGACTTTCCTTGGTGTCATGCAAGCAAGCCAGTCGTGGAAGCTAAGGCGGCAACCAGCCCAGCAACTCAGACGTCGCATCCTGAGTCCGAGCAGGTGGTCCGCAGGGGCGAGAATCTACTTCAAAGCCTTGGGTCACCAAGACCACCACATCCTGTGGGGTACATCCTGTGGGGTACAAAGTACAGAAAATCCTCTTCATTTCAGGTTCTCAGAAACAGCGCTTGTAACCGTTGGTTTTTTTTATAGAAGGCAGCAAAATGGAGTCTTTGGCCTGTTTGTGACAGTTCTTGCTTATTCGTCTTCTCTCACTTGTCAAGGTCTTGTATCTCTGATCTATTCTTTACTGGTCCATACCTGTGACTCACACTCTTACTGACTGATTTATCAGGTCACACCACAGCACCAGCTGGCCGCCGGGCGGGGGCCAGGGCCCGAGCCTGCTGCTGGGGTGTGAGCGGAGCCTCCCGAGGGTCCTGGGCCCTGAGGCCGGAGGGCGAGGCACAGCCGCGGCCTCCTTCCTCCCGTCCTCCCGGGGAGCTGCAGGTGGGGCTTGGAAATGAATCCCATCTTCGAAGGTCACACGAAGGTCACACGAGACCCTCGACCCTGAATCCTGCTGCTAAGGCTCAGGGGGAGGACGGGGCAGGCAGCGGCCGCCCAATTGGGCACCTGGTCATGAAGCGCTCCTCGACAGTGGTTCCCAGCTGTCCCCCGCTTGGCCAGGCACAGGCAAGATGGAGGGCAAGGCTTGTGCCCGCTGGGGACAGCGAAGGCCGGGGCTGGGGGCAGAGGGGAGGAGCCTGCCAGGCCTCAGATTGGCCCCCATGCCCTGCAGACAGGTGAGGGACAACTGCCTTCTAAGGACACAGGGTGACAGGCTCCTCCTGAACCCTAAACCACACCCCCTCCCCGGGTCTCAGGGCCTGGGCCTGGCTGACCTTGCCATCCCCCTCCCTCCCTCCCCTGCTCCCTTCCCCTCCCCTGCTCCCTTCCCCTCCCCCTCCCTCCTTTTCTCCCGGGCCCTGGTCACGGTTACAGAGGAAGGCAGTGAATGCCCACCCACTTCACTAGGGTCGTAAAAAGTACGGGATACACCACCCGTATCTGTTGACTTCTGGACTGAAAATCGTGAGTCTGGTTTAAACGCCCCTCCTCCCCACAGGACGTGGTGGGTGATTCTGAGTTCCTTGCGGAGACAGGGAACTAACCACAGCTTAGCTATTGGCTTGTGCCCGGCCCCCAGTATCCAGATGTGACTGATCTGTCACCTGGAGATCACCCCAAACTGGAGCCCTTGCCCTGGAGAGTCCTCCCAACAGGCCTCCTTCCAACAACCAGGAGGGCGCCGCAGTCGCAGACGCTTTTCCATTTAGCAGGTAATGGCGGGTCTCAGGTCCCCGAGGACAGGACAGGAGCCTGTCTGCTTTCAGGGGGTGGAAACTGGCTTGGCTCCGTCTGCAGCAAGTTCAGCTTCAAAACACAGCTCTGAAACGGGCTTCCTGTTTTCTGCTGGCCACAGTGAGCTGCAGAAGTCATTCATTCGTCATCAGGTGGCGGCAGGCGGTGGGCGGGGCTGGGCTTGGCCTGAGACCTCGGGGCGAGCCACAGTCACAGACAGGCCCAGGGTGGCCCTGCCAGGGAGAGACGGTGAGGAGCACCCTCCTCTCCACCTCCCGTGTCCAGACAGGACCTTCCACTGGCCGAGCCTGGCCCAGCGCCCCAAGACAGGGCCCCTGGGGAAGCCGAGTCAGGCCCCTGTGACCTAGAGCAGAGCATAAGGACAGGCAGGGGACCTAAGGACAAACACACCACGCCCGTGTCCAGCACAGAGGGAGCACCAGGCAACGTAAGTAGGAGTGTTCCTAGAAATGGGGCCTCGACAAGGGGTCTCTCAACAGGCATGGCTGAATCCTAGTAATTTGATACAATTGTCCCTGGAATCCCCCAATGTCCCTCCTTGGCTATCTTTTCCAGTTAGGCTGACCTCTCACCAGTAATGATAAACATAAAAAAAAAAATAAGGTGAGGTTTGTTAAGATGGAAGTGACAGAATTCCATCTCAAACTGACCTAAGTTATGAACGGGGAACTATTGGCTCAAATAACAACAACAAGGGGACAGCTTCAGGCACAGCTAGATCCAGGGGCTCAAATGGTGGTGCAGGAAGTCCTCCAGCTCTTGACTTGCCTCTGTGTTGGCTTCATGTCTGGCAGGCTCTGCCCTTGAACACCTTCAGGTTGAACCCTACCACACAGAAGCACCTCCAACAAAAGTCCCTACCAAAAGCTTGGGATCGCACAGATTGGATCCACCTGTGACCACCTGTGACCCAGGCGTCAGGCTGAGAGGAATGAAGAAACTAGTGGGCCAGACCTCTCACGTGGAGACCCTTCCTCAGCCCGTGGAGACCCTTCCTCAGACCCTTCCTTCACCCCATTCCTCCAGACAGGAGAGGGGCCCACACAGGCCCTGTGCCTTCCTCTGCCTGTGCCCGATCGGCTCAGGCCCTCCGTCTGTCCCTGGCAGGCTCCTTGTCCAGAGGAAATAAAGGGCCACAGCAGCCTGTGCCTCCTGAGGACCCCGCATCCTGGGCTCTCAGTTCTCGCTGGGACACCTCTCGTTGCCCTCCACGGGGACAGGGAGCAGCAGGTCTCTGCTCAGAGGAGTCCGACCACAGCAGCCTGCCACACAGAGCACTCCCGGGGCTGGTCCCCCCTCCCAGACGGCTGGAGTAGTACCTGCCACAGCTCCCGGGCCGTCTGGATGAGGACTCTGTGGGCAGTGGAGCGTGGTGGCCGGCGGTGACGACGGTGGCTTCTCCGCACAGCTCTTCTGCTTTCCCGTCCCTCCTCTGCTCTCTGCCTCGGCTCTGGAAAGCGTTTGGGTCTCACAGTGAACATTTCTGAAGCCGCTGCTCTAGGCGCGGGTGGCGCTGGGTTCCCGGACACAGAGGCGTAAACAGCAAGGTCTCCCCGTCTTTGTGGAATCCTCGTCCAGCGGGGAAAGCGGTTTAAGACAGAGCTGGCTGACCTCACAGGGGCCGGAGGCTGCGAGGAGCCCCCCGGGGGGTTGTGCCCAGGGTTGGGGGTGTATTCCCAGCTCCTACTGCTGTCAGGTGCCACCTTCCACGTGGTGACTCGGGGACCCAAGCTCCTCCCTTCTTTCGTCCCCACCACCTCGCAGGCTGCAGATTCCACCAGCTGCTCTGATTCTGCTGGTGGAGGGAGGAGGAGGCACAAGGAGCCCCCCACCTTGGGGGTTTCTCTGGGCCAGGCTGGCACCTCCCCACCACATGTGCTGGTGGAATCTGTGGCACAGCAGCACCTAGCTGCAAAGGAGGCTTTGGAACATCCCCCATCTGTGGGGGTACAGACCCCAGGGGACGCCTGAACCACAGACAGTACCAAACCTTAGGTGTACCCTGGTTTTCCTATGTACCTACCTCTGAGAGAGTTTGATTTATACATGAGGCATAATAAGAGATTAACAACAATAAATAACAATAGAATAGAGCAATTCTAACCGCCCATGGGTAATAAAGTTATCACCACTCTTGCATCTTTGGAAACATTATTAAGAAAAATAAAGACTATTTAAACACAAGCACTAAAATACTGAGACAGTCAGTCAACCAAGATGGCTACTAGGCAACTAACGGGCGGGTAGTGCATACAGCATGGAGACACTGGACACGGGGTGATTCACATTCTAGGCAGGATGGAGTGAAACTGCAGGACGTCTCGTCACACGGCTCAGATCTGCATGCAATTTAAAATCATGAATTGTTTATTTCTGAGATTTTCCATTTGATTCTTTCTGATAGCAATCAACTGCATATCTAGAAGCACAGAGAGTGTAGATAAAGGGGGGAATCCATTGTACCCCCACCCCCACTTCACACTCCTTTTGCGAAGAGCAAGATTTGTTTTGATGCAGGCGTAATTAACACATATTCAGTAAACACCTTATGGCACAAATTGTACCAGGCTCCTCGCTATTAAACTCTGCAGATGGTTTCTGGTACAAAATATTTATGAGTCTTGTTTCAGTGGCATATGGCCCAAGAGGCGAGAGCCACATGGGTGGTGGATGTCACTCTTCTCCCTGCATGTGCCTCTGCCCCTCCCTGCTACCTCTGGGTTGTCAGTGTCCTTTCCCTGTCCCCTGATGACAGGGCCGATGGGATTGGCAGGAGGCCTGTGGGTGGTCCTCTCCAGAGACCCAGGCATGGGCTCAGTTTGGACTCGTGGCCAGGACATGAGAGAAGATTGGGAGAGGTGGGAGAGAGGGGGAGGTGCAGAGGAGAAGGGAAAGACCCAGAGGGACAGGAGTGTGGAGGGTGGCCCTCTCTGCCCCTCTCTGCCCCTCTGTCTGCTCTTGTCTCTGACTCCGACTCTTGGCCTCTGTCTCCTTTAATACAGCATCACGTGCTGAACGGATGAACAAAACGCTCTCCCCACCCAGCGCAACATCAGTCGTAAAAGGAACGAAGTCATCCCTGTTTCCGGATGGAGGAACCTAAAAATATTCCAAGAAATTAAAGATGGACACCCAGCAGCATCTTGTCCGACCCACCCGGATACAGGGCGGGCGTCAGCACATCCATGGAGACGGAGCGGCCTGGGGTTCCTGGGGCTGCAGGATGGGGACGCTGGCAGGTGGGGGGCACGCTCTGGGGATGGAGAGGCTCTGAAACTAGGTAGTGGCGATGGCCGCCCAGCTTTGTGCTTCTACCAAGGCCTCTGAGGCTGGCACAGGACGCGCAGCCTGAGGTGGGAGAGAGGACTATTTAAGGGTGGGTTTTGGGTGTTGGGGTTAAACCGTAATAAGGCAGCCATCTAAACACGCACCGTCCTGTGAGTTTGCACCCGTGTCCTTTGTCACGCGCTGAGCACTGCTGTGTCTGGCGCAGGTGCACAGACCACGGCTGCACAGGTCATGTGCACAGGCCACGGCCCGGGCTCGCCAGGCTGGTGGTGGGTGTTCCGGACTGAAGGGACCCTGCCAGATTTCACCTCAGGGTGGTACAGAGTCTCACGCCCGTCCCTGATGCCCGGCCACAGCCCTCAGAGGCTGGCCAGGAAGAAGGGGTCCCAGCCAGGGCAGGTGCGCACTCATGTCACGTGCCGGGCAGACGCAGGCTCGGGGGCCCTGGGCGGATCCCTTTCTCTTTTTCCCAAAGGAAGAGTCACAGATGTTGGTGGCTAAGGACTCCTGGGACCACCCTGGAACCTCCTCCTGATGTGATCAGAAGGTTGACAATGACTTTGGGAAGGACCGGTGCTGGAGGGGCTGGGGCTTTCCCCGGGCTGGGTCCTGGGCCTTCCACCCGTCCCAGTACCGTCACGTCCTCAGCTGCCCACCACCCTGACACCATTTCAGGACAGAGCGGACCAGCACTGGCCACCTTGGCCACCCACCAGGTGAGCGTGGACCAGAGCCCAGGTGCTCCCTTCCCGTCTGTCGCGTCCCCCGTGCTGTGTCCCTGAACATCTCCCGGAGAGGAAGCGCCTGAGTCCTGTGGACCCATGAACCAGGTGAGCTTCTCCTCCTGTAGACTGTTACTGCCAGGTGTTGGGGTCACAGCGATGGACACAGGCCCCTGGGGACAGCCAACTCCTTCACCCGGACTCACCTGGGAAAGGCCGATGCCCGTCCCTCCCTGAGAGGACACCCCCGACACGCAGAGCTCACCAGTGAGGTGGACCCAGCCCTTTTCTGCCTCCTGAGCCCTCCTCGGGGACACAGGCCCCACTGTGCCCTGGGACAGCTCTCGACTGGCTCACCAATGTGGATCCCCCACAGCGTCCCCGCCTCCGTCCAGGGCTGTGTGGCCTCCGCTCACTGATGGCCACGGCAGCCGGGAGGCACGCGGTCTCACCCACGCTCTGCCCCCAAGGCCATGGAGGCGCAGGGAGGGGATTACGTCACTCGTGGTGACACAGCGGGCAAGAGGGGCAGCTGGGGAGGGCGCTCCAGGGCCGCTTTCCCCAGCCCTTCTGAGGACAGGCCTGCTGGGTAGACAGGACAGACCGCTGTGCCCACGGCTGCCTGGGGGCTCCTCCTCTGTCCTGGCCTCCACGGGTACAGGGAAGCCTGTGGCCAAGGGCAGGGACCCGAGGGAGCACAGATGCCCGACAACAGTTGGGGAGGACGTGGCGTGACCGAAACCTCCATGTCCCCGGAGCCCGCGGGCGCTGGCCGGCCCCGGGGACGCATGTGTCTGATGGAGCTGAAGGTGCAGAGGCCCAGGCCCAGGCGCCTCCTGTGCTTCCTCAGCAGACGCGTCAGGGACCCGCGTCCCAGGTCGTCCTCCACAGCACAGTGGCACGGGGCGAGTCCCGGGCCTGGAGATGACCCACGCAGCCTCCTGCAGCGGATCAGCCTCTGGGCACACCCTCCCGGAGGCCCCGTCCACCCTGACAGACAGGCCTCTGGGCGCTCACGTCCTTTGCCTGAGGCTGAGGCCAGTTTTGGCCCTGGCTGTGTGTCACCCGGG